TTTCATTGTATTCCTTCTTCCTACCCAATAGCAAAGTATAGCTTTCTGTTATCTGATACCTTCTTTGGTCTCCTTTTTGAAAATACTGTAGTTTTCAGTGTAGGGATCTTTTCCTTCATTTTTCAGATTGATTCCTAAGTATTCTATATTTTTCTGATGCTATTGCAAAAGGTTTGGTTTCTCTAATTTCTTTTTCAGAGAGTTTATTTTTGTACAGGGATATTACTGATTTTTAAGTGCTAACTTAAACTGCTATGCGGCTGAATGTGGTTATTGAATTTATAATGTTTTGGTGGAGAATTTTTGGTCTTCTGTGTAGAGTGTCATGTCATCCACAACTAATGATAATTTACTTCTTCCTTTACTGTTTTTATTCCTTTGATGTCTTTCTCTTGTCTAATTGCTATGGCTAATGTTCTAGAATTATGTTGAATAGGAGAGGTAATAGTGGCCATTCACTGTTGTGTTCCTGATTTTAGAATGGAAGTTTTCAGTTTTTGATCATTTTATTGATGTAGGCTCTTGGTTTGTCATAGATGGCTTTCAGCAGATTGAGGTAAAAATTATTCCAATTTTCTGTAGGGTTTTTTTATGAATGGATGTTGGGCTTTCTGAAACTCTTTTTCTGTATCTGTTGTGATGATCATATCTTTTTTGGCTCTGTTGATATATTGTATTACATATATTGATTTGTGTATATTGAACCATCTCTAAATCCATGGGATGAATTGGTTGAATGGTACTGGCTCATGGGAATAGTCTGGCGTCTGGCTGTCCTCCCAGTGTCCTGCACATGGTGCTGGTTCACAGGGATGATTTGCTTTTTGGTGACTTCTTGTTCTTTTCCCCCACAGTCCATGAATGGTGCTGGCTCATGGGAAAAGACTGGCATCTAGCTCTCCCCCCAGCAGCCTATGAATGGCATCAATTCGCAGGGAGTTCTTGGTGACTTCAGCAGTGTGTTATTTAATTTCAATGTGTTTATGCAGTTTTATCCTTTCTTTTGTCATTGACTTGTAGTTTCGTTGCACTATGGTGATAATATGCATGAGATAATGCTAATTATTTTGCATTATGTTAAGTGTATTTTGTGGGCTAGTATGTGGTCTGTTTCAGAGAACACCCTATTTGCAGCTGAGAAGAATGTGTATTCTGATATTGTCTCTTAGAACACTCTGTAAATATCTTCTGAGTCCTTTTGTTTACAGGTTTGGTTCTGTTGTGATGTTTCGTCTGGTTGATGTATTTTGATGCTCTGTTAATGTCCCCTGTTAGAATTGTAGTAATGCCTATTTCCTTTTTCATGTGCATTAATGTTTGTTTTATGTAGGTGGATGCACCATTATTTTGTGCATATATTTTAAAAATTTTATTTAAAGAAAGACTAAACAAAACAGAAAATGAGTAGAAATAGTACATATGTTCAGAGAAGAAATAAGCAGCAAGAAATCACTTGTTGATGTTTACATACTGTGCTTGCACAAATAGTTGTTCAAAATTCAAAAGTGGAACATACAAAGTGGGAATTCAAACAGCAAGACTGCAAACAGTTCTGTTCAACTATCCAACAAAAACTTAGTAATATGGTTGTCAATCCTATACACTTAAACATACATGCAGTTATCCATATTTCATTTATGTTGAGATTAAACAAACTAAAGCAGGCTAAAATAATTCTAAACAAAGAATAATATTATTGCTGGATTTCACATCATGACACTCCGGGATCATCACTGGGTACTGTAGTGTCTTTTTATTTTATTTAAAGAAAGACTAAACAAAACAGAAAATGGGTAGAAATAATAAATACTTTCAAAGAAAAAAATAAACAGTGAGAAGTCACTAGTTGATGATTATAGATTGTCCTCTTACAAATAGTTATTCAAGATACTAAAGTGGGGATTCAAACAGTGAGACTGCAACCAGTTCTGTTCAACTACCCAACAGAAACTTAGAAATATGGTTATCAATCCTATACACTTAAACATACATGCAATTATCCATATCTTCAATTATGTTGAGATTGTACAAATCCAAGCAGGCTAATATCACTCTGAACAAAGAATAAAACTATTGCTGTGATTCACATTATGACACTCCAGGATCAGCACTGGGTACTTAAGTGTCTCTTTTTCTTCAAAGTATCTGTTCATTTCATCATGTGTCATAAAATCAGTTCTCATAAACTGTTTATAGATTCTACACATGCATGAGCCTTAACATGTATGTTAAGTCTATCCTTTCTGTGTTAGAGGGAGAAACAAAACAAAGCAAGACAAAACAAAACATATTCCTATAAACACATGAAACAAAAAAGACATATTAAGACCGTTGTACAAGGAGTTCTACCATAGAGCCTGTGTTGTCTCTTGTTATCTTCAATAGAATTGACTATAATATCAGACATAGTATAATTGAATATATCAGTATATAACAGTATTAATAAAAACAGAACTTTGTATATAGTATAAAACTTCAAAAACAGTCAGTTATCAAACCAGAACGCATATTGTAGAGTCTTGCCATCTTCAGTGTAATTGCCTATACTCTCAGACTTTATACTATCAGTCATAACAGTTTTGAATAAAATCTTTGGTACCAAACAACAATCAAACAAACCAGATTTAACTAAGATCAGTCATGATAAAACAGTATAAGTCATACAGAGCTTCCGATTAAGATAATAGGAAATTAAAGATGATTACTGTGCTATATCCTGATGTTTTTGGGATAGCTGTCTGTGCCCTCAAATCTAATGCAAGTAGACAAACTGGGACAGAATAAAATCTATCACAGCAGAGTGGTGTGAGTAATGTGGGTTTTAAATCCTGATACACTATTAACGTATCTTCTGCCATCTTTTTTAAGACTCTCCCTCCCCTTTCACTAACCCAGAGTACACTGTGCATTTCTGGGTCTGACCAAGACCCTTGGTTTTAAATTGGGCACTAGTGGCAACTTGCTATTTACCTAAGTGGTTCTGAACCTTCTCTGTCCTGGACTTGATCTCTAATTGTATTCCTTTACCTATTAAAGCCTGTTTTCCAAGCTATCTACAAATACTGGTCTAGTTGCGCCTATTACTCTCTGGTTCTGTCACATAGAGCATTGCTTTCTCATATTTGATTTTCAGTCCATGTACTCTTTTTCATGTTAATTATATTTCCTAAAAATCATGTCTTGGTGAACCCTACCTCCTGATCTCCTCTATGTGTGGTTCTTTTTTTTTTTTAATTTAGTGTATGAAGACCATCTATATTAGAGATTATAACCAACCTTCTCTGCCTCATTTCTGTTATGCTCTTTTTTTGCCATCAGTTGTCTGCTTATCTTCTTCATTCTGTTTTCTGTTCCATTCATTGAGGCCTCTCTGCCACTGTTCCTGGAATCTAATACTTTTCTCTCTCTCTAGAATGCTCTCCAGTATTGTCTGTAGAATTGGATTGGTGTTTGCGAATTTCCCAAGTTCGTCTTTGTGTTTGAAGGATCTTGTTTCTCCATTAACTTCTAGAGACAGTTTTTCAGGGTATATCAATCTGGGCTGGAGTTTATTTTCTTTCAGTGCTTGGAACATTTCACTCCAGGCTCTTCTTGACTTGATGGTTTGTGTTAAGAAGTCTGCCGTTATTCTGATGGGCCTTCCTTTATAGGTTATCTGGTCTTGTATCTAACAGCTTGTCACTAACAGCTTTTAATATTCTGTTCCTATATTGAGTTTCTGGGATCTTGATTGTTATATGCCTGGGTGTAGCTCTGTTTTGGTTGTACATGGCTGGAGTTCTGTATGCCTCATACATCTGAATATCATTTCCTTTTTCTATGCTTGGGAAGTTTTCCTTAATTATTTCTGTGAATAACCTTTGTAGTTCATTTTTTGTACCCCTGCTTCTTCATTCACATTCTTTATTCTCAATTAAAGATCCTCTTGTTGTCTTCTAACCTTTGTGTTGTTACTTCTTGTTTCCTTGTTATTTTAAAAAAGTTTTTCCTTTCCTAATCCCACATTGCAAAACTGTCCTCCAGTTTGGATAATCTATCCTTAATTTCTTTCAATTAAATTCACCATCTTTCCATAGAGTTTTTAATTTCCTGGTAATCTCTTTGAATCTGCTTCATGTATTCTATATTTTGTTTATATTCTTCATCTAATGGTTCTCTCCTTTGTTTGAGTTCCTCCCTTCTTCTGTCTGTGTTTCTTGAGGGGTGCTTAGCATCTCTTTTATTAATCTTATATTTTGCTGTACTTGGCTTAATATTTCACTTTTTGAACTCATCTATGAGGTCCTGAAGATATCTCTTTATGTCCACTGGTGCTGTGTCTGATATTGCATGTTTGCTGTTCTCATTCTCCTTTGTATTTACCTGGCCTGGGTCAATGTTCTCAGGGTTGGGCCCTGGGGACTTTTTCTTGTTCCTCCCTTTTCCCATCTTTTTTGTTTCTTCCAGGAGGCCCCAGCTTCTTTCTTTGTTGATTACAATTCTTTTTTTTTTTTTTTTTTTTTGTCTTTTTCGTTTTTATCGGTACCAGGGATTGAACTCACGACTGCACACTTGCAAGGCAGGCGCTTATGCTGCTGAGCTAAATCCCCAGCCCCTGTTGATTACAATTCTTCTGAAGCACACTGGCTAGGTAACCCTTCCCACTGCAGTATGCTAGTGAGTTACAAACAGGGGCAGCATATGCTGGTCCCTGCCCTCCCAAATCAGTTAAGCAATTACAAGAAAAAGACTGAGCCAGGGATTTACTCCAGTGGCACAGTGACTCTGGCAAGCATGAGGTTGTGAGTTCAATTCCTGGTACCATAAAAAGAAAAAAGACTGGTACAATGTATCAAAAATGAATCCAAGAATACACTGCATGTAAGAAACACATTTAAAATAAAAAAAAAATTTATACACTGAAATTCAAAGGACGCAAAATAAAGAACACTTACAACATTACTCTTTTTAAAAAAGATAAAGACTGTTATCTCTATTTTTTTTCTTATCAATCTTCCTAGGTATATATTCTGTACTTGTGGCATTGATGGCTGGCAAGGCAGAAGTAAGGTATAATCCTACCATTATACAACCTCCACTGATTGCAGAGTTCATCCGAGAACTTGGGTTTGGTGCTACTGTGATAGAAACTGCTGAAGAAGAGGATGGTGTTTTAGAACTTGTTGTAAGTAAGAGTTTTTGTGTGGTTAATAAGATTTCTAGGGAAATTTCAGTGAGGGTTTATAGAAAAGTTAATTATGGGTGGATAAGATACATAATAAACTGGAGAAAATGAAAATAAGATAATATATTAAAGTTAGTTTTCAAGTATGAAATATAATTGTGATAACTGTTAATGAAAATTAAGAATTGGGTTTGAATTAATAAATGAAAGTTGACTTTTAAAATTTGTATGGTTCCTGTTTAGTAACATGTAAAGGAACAGATCTGGATGCACTAAAGATTTAAATTTTATAAACAATGTTATAAAACTAGGTGTAAGGCATATAGGTTCAAAGTGATCATTTTCTCCAGCTTAGCAAATTGATTTTTGGTGTTCTGTCTTGTAAAAATAGGACCATATATACAATTTTGAACATATATTTGTGTATGTGTATGTGTGTGTGTGTGTGTGTTACTGGGGATCAATCTCAGGACCTTTGTATTGAGCTATATCTTTGCCCCTTTTTAGAATTTTATACTTTGAAATAGAGTTTCATTAACTGATAGATTGCCTTAAGCTGGACTTGAACTTGCGGTCTTACTGCCTCAGCCTCCTAGAGTGCCTAGCTTACACGTAATGCACTACTACACTTAGCCATGAAGTTATTTTTATAGTATAGTTTTCAGAGTAAAATTTAAAATTAACCTAAATATTCTTTAACATGAATTGATTATATAAATTATATATAGCTATTTTATAGACTACAGCTGTTTAAAGAATAAAACAGATCAGTATTTACTGGCAAGTAGCAATCTTTAAGACATTTATTAGTGACAGAAGAAATTCTAGTATGATATGTATGATGGCATTTAAGTAAAAATGTGGAAGCATGTATTGTATGCTTATGTAATATATATGTATATAAACACCTATGGAAAATATCATTTGGTTTATGTACATGATTAGTAGGAAGAGAGTACAATGGGGTAAAAAGAGAAAAGAGAAACTTGCATCTTTTCAATATTGTTTTGAACCTTTTTTATATTTTAATTAGATTTTATTCATACATTCTTTATATACATAATGGTCGCATTCATCACAGAGAATTTGTGCCTGTACATGATATAACTTTTTTACCATCCCCCTACCTTCCCTTGGACCCATAAATTATTTTAGTACTGGGGATTGAACTAAAATTCTTTGTACTACATGCCAGCCCTTTTTAAAATTTTGTATTTTGAGAAAGGTTCTCACTAGATCACTAAGTTGCCCAGGCTGGGCTCAAACCTGTCATCCTTCTCTTTCACCTTCCCAGAATACTGGGATTACAGGCTTGTGCCACTATGCCTGGATTTATTTTTTTAATTTTAATTTTTTGAATTGTTGCTTATTTTGAAGGCAGTAAAATACAACAGAACAAGACAGAACAAAGCCAATCGAGACAATGCAGTGAAATTTATACAGAACATGATAACAGCAGGATACTATGATAATAGTAATAGGTACCATAGTATATCTCATACCTGGATTTATTTTTAAATTATACAAACAAAACTTGGATGTAGTCTACTTATAAAGATTTAAAAGCCAGGCTTAATGGTGCCTACTTGTTATCCCAGCACTCTAGAGGATTTAAACAGGAGGATTGTGAGTTCAGGCTCAGTCTGCAACTTAGAAAGACTCTGCCTCAGAATGAAAATATAAAGAGTAGAGATGTAGTTCATTGCAAAAGCCTTGGATTTTGGATTTTATCCTTAGTGCTAACACACACACACACACACACACACACACACCATAACAAAACCCCTTAACTTTATGCTAAAACAAGCTCCAGTTAAAGCAAAAAATTTGAATACAAATAATACAACTTTTTTTTTTATCAAGAAATGTTTCTTGGGCTGGGAACATTGCTCAGGTGTAGAATGCACTCATGGAGTTCTAGTCAGTGTAAGCAGACATTTTTGCAAATGGATTTACTTCAGGGAACCATTGAAGGGTCAAATAATGACAGATCTGTGGAAAAAAGCAGTTCTATCTTCTTTCTGCCCTCTCTAGTGGAATCTCTGAGTTGTTTTCTCCGTAACTGTGGAGTGTTGGTTTCGATAGCTACCACAGAAATAAAAGATATGGGATAAGAATACAGTGAATTAGAATACCCTATAGCTTGCCATTTTATCAGGTTTCATCTGACTTTTAAAAAAGAAGTGCTTCCTGGATTGGTACAAGTTTTAATATGTTTTTAATTTTAAAGAGACTAAAAACAAAACAAAATAAAGTAGAATAAAGCAAATCAGAACAGAACAAAATGCAAGTGATACAGGACTACAAAACAAGACAACAGGAAATCAATAATGGCTACCATAATGTCTTGTTTTCTTCAGAATAGCTATTCATACCATTGATTCTGACAATTTTTGCCATTTTTTTGTAATGGAGAAAATATTTAGAGAAGCCGAATGTACCATTTTTGCTGCTATCACTTCAGTAGATGTACTAAATGGCTTTTGGTCAATTTTCAGTGTTTCAGTGGTTGTTATGTTTTGTTTCTGGGTGTCTCCCCAAACCCTCATGTTGTTATTGGGGTGTGGGATTTTTGTGAAACAGCTGAATCTAGAGTTTGTGACTGGTTCACTGTCTATTGATGGGTTTGGGGTTGTGTGTGGTACACTTTCTCTAGAGCAGGTAGCCTTCATACAATATAAGTGAGGCAAAGAATGTTACTACTTCTCTTTTTGCTCTTATTTTTTTGCTGTCTTCCAACTCCATGAACTGTTGCCCCTCTGCAATGTGCCACCCTCTCTCAAAGCTAGCAAATCATGGATTGAAACCTCTTCAAACTGTGAGCTAAATAAACCTTTCTTTTTGTAATTTTGGAGTGTTGGGTATTTTGTCTCAGCAATGAGGAAAAAATAACTAACACAGAATTTGGTACCATATAAGTGGAGTCATTGCTCTGACTGTACCTGACCATGTTTTTCAAGAGGCTATGTGAGTGGTTTGTGGGAAGAATTTGGAAAGGTTCAGAGATCTCACCTGAAAGAGCAGGGCTGTAATGCCTTAGGCTATTCTGTTTGAGAAACTCTAATCATAGCTCAGAAGACCATAAAGCTAATAGAAATCTTGCTGGTTAAGACCTGACTTAGGAGGTTTCTACTGAGAAGAAGGACTGTATTGTTTGCTGGACTCCAGATAATGTGTCTTAGCAAAAAGTTTGTCTGCATATTACGTTTGTCCAGAGACTATGCCTGAGACTGAGATTAAGGGTGGCAAATTAATATTAATTTGCCATATTAATGACTGAAGAAATTTCAAAGAGGTTGAATGTTGAGGCAGCAGCATGGCTAATGTTGGGGGACTTTTAGCCAGATTTATATTGCAAATCAAGAGCGGGGAGCCCAACTGAATGATGTAAAGTGTGAGGTTGGCCAGAAAGGAAGCTCCAGTAAAAGCTGTGAACTGCAAAGAGAGCAGAGGAGATCTTGACTGCTGAGAAGGAACAGAATAGAGAAGATAACCTGAGGGCATCACAAGAACAGGACTCCAAGTCTTATAGCCTCCAGGCTGCAAAAATGAAAGATTTTGCTTTGAGAAGAAAGCCCCAGAGCACCATGTTCCAGAATGACAACAACCCAGAGAATTTGTTACTTGAGATCAGATTCGGAAATAATTCTCAATGACCCAGGTACTCAACCTGTACAAACAAGAAAGTAGGAAGGTTAGCCACTGCCACGTTGGTAGACCTTGGCATTATTTATGTGGCATGAATTTTAGGTGCATGCAGAATGCAAGAGTTGTGGGGCCACGAAGGCTTCCACCCAGTTTTCAGAAGGCCTAGATAACCAGGCGTTGTGCTCCTAAGGCAGTATGTGAAGCTGTGAGTGTGAAACCAAAAGTGCAGTGGAGACCTTAGAAGTTTGGAGAAGCCAGGAACATGGGTCATCTGAAGAAAACTGTAAAGAGGGAGCAGGGCATATCCAAGAGAGAAACCATAGGAGCTACAACCACTGGGAATGCTGTAGGGGTGGAATCATCCAATCCCTCTGGAGTTCACATCCTACCATAGATTGCCTTGGATGGTACACATGGAACTAAAGGAGTTGATGTTTGTCATGCTGGATTTTGGTATTGCTTTGGTCCCATTTCTTTTTTTCCTCCTTTGTAATTTTTGGAATGGAAATGTCTGTCTTCTGCCATTGAATGTTGAAAGTATTGTAGCTTTCTTTTCATTTGTACAGAGGCTCATTGCTAAGAGTTTGCCTTATGTTTTGGAGGAGACTTGGGACTCAAACTTTTCAGCAATGCTGAAACTGTTAGGACCCTGGAAATTCTTAGAGATGGACTAAATGCATTCTACATAAAGGGATGTACATGAGTCTTTGGGGGCCAAGGATGGAATGTTATGGTTTGTGTATGGATGTCACCTACAAAACCTCATATGATCATGCAGGGCAAGCATTTTGGAAGTGGCTGAATCTTGAGTTTGTGATTGGATCACTGTCTACTCTTGGGGTTGGGGGTGTGAGTGCTACACCTGCCTTTGGGCAGGTAGCCAGCATATACTATAAGAGAGGAAAAGAAGATTGCTCCTCCCTGTTTGTTTTTGTTGCTTTTACTGTATTCTACTGCCATGAACTGTTGCCTCTCTGCCATGTGCCACCCGGTCTCAGAGCCAGTGGATTATAAACTGCAACGTCCACAAACTGTGAGCTAAACAAACCTCTCCTTTCTTAATTTTGGGCATCAGATATTTTATCTTAGCAACTAATAAGACAATTGTCCTTGACCATTTTTTCAGTTTTATTTTTGTTCATTTTTTGTGGTATTGGTATTTTTTTTTTTTTTTTTTTTGAGATAGGGTCTTGCTATGTATCTCGGGCTGGCCTTGAATTCATGACAATTCTCCTGCCTCAGTCTCTCAAGACCTTGGATTAGAAGCATACATTATCATGCCTGGCTGGTACTAGGAATTGAATTGAGGGCTTTGAGGATGTACTGAGCTATATCCTCAACCCTTTAAAATTTTTGAGATAAGGGTCTTGCTGTGGTGACAGGGTTGGTTTTGAACTTTAGCTCTTCCAGCCTCAGTATCTCTTTTGGATGTTTGAAACAGAGTCTTGCTATGTATTTCAGGCTCGTCTTGAACTCACTGTGTTTCCCAGGCTGAGCTCAAACTGACAGCAATCCTCTTGCCTCAGGCTCCTAAGTCCTTGGATTAGAGGCATGCACCATGCCTGCCTGCCTCAGTGTCTTTAGTAGCTGAAATCATAGGCATGTGATGCTACCCCTGGCATATCATTGCTTTTTGAGGAAAGGATCTGCACATCTTTTTTGGTCTTTTTTTTTGAGACAGGGTCATGCTACACAGTTCAGGCTAGCCTTGAGTTTACTTTGTACCCCAGGCTGGTCTTGAACTTGTAATGATCCTCCAGCCTCAGCTTCTTGAGTGCTGGGATTACAGGTGTGCACCACCATGCCTGGCTAGGATCTGCACATATATTGTAGAATTTTATGCTTAACTCAAGTGTATCTGCACTTAAGGTATAGAGAAAAATACACCTTAATGTTTATGAAATCGGAACACTTAGAAACCATCAACTTTCTCTAATAATATACCTAAGCAGGATGAAAAAAATCTGGAGGAAAATGATGCACTGGATTAAGAACTAATGGTTGTAGAATTCTCTGTCATTGAGTGATAGAGTATCAAGAAAAGGGAGCCTTTTAAGAGGTGCATTTTTATCTAATCTGTTTGTTACAGCTTGTGTCTAGATGTACTCTCAGAGCTTTATATGTTTATAGGTAGGGCTTTTTTCAGAGAGATGGCTGGATCAGGTGTATGATACGGGGATTAAGTGTGTGTGATTACTAAATTAGTCCATTGATTGACTTGGCATACTTCTGAGAGTGTATAATGGAAAGGCCCACCCTGGGTATAAGTGTTGTCCACTCTTAGGAATGAATAGCCTGGATGGACTATAAGAAGGCTGCTGTCATCCCTTGCTGCTTCACTACTTTGCTATTTGCTGCCTTTCTGACCTCTCCTTGTCATGAACTATTTCTCGTCTGCAATGGTACCCTGTCATGGAGCCAGCCAGGTATGAACTGAAACCTCTACAAACTATGAGCCGAAATAGACCTTTTGTTGTTTTACTTTGGGTGTCAGGTTTTTTTTTTAATCTCAGTGATAAGAAAGGTAACTAAGACAGATCTGGGAAGATGGCGGAATAGTAAGCAGCAAACTAAAAAGCCTCTGTGAAGGAAATAGCCCAGATGCTGGAATATAGCACTCTGGAGAAGGAAAAGCAGGAAAGACATAGATCCCCTTGACCATGGAAGAAACTATAGTGAGAATTGAAGTCCACAGAAAGAATTTTAAAAAAGAAAAACTTGAACAGAAGAAGGTGGTAGCTGGCGGTGCTCTCACTAGAGCCCATCCCACTGTGCCAGAAGCACTGTTGGAACCTTGAGATGCATGGGCACAGTGAAGCTGGTGGCTGGTAAACCTGAAGGCCTTGGTGAAGAGATATAAGGGCAGAAGGTAGCAGCGAACCAGAGAACTGCACTAGCTGGCGTGTCCAAACTCATGCGGCTGTGACTAAGTGAACTTCCTGAGTTCCCAATGCTTCTGCTAGCCAGAGCCATGGTTGTGCTGGGGTACAGGTGCACTGAGGTCAGGGATCAGTGAGACCAACAGATAGCAGAGCCAGTAGGGGATCTGCATTGACCTGTGGTGAGTGTTGGGAATAAAACCCTTCCACGGGAAAAGGGATGACATCTTGGAACCGGGCAGGACTGCAGAAACAAGGTACTGCGGAGACTTCAGTCAGTTGTTCACTTCCCAGATGGGATTGGTCAGATATGCTTGGCCTGGGTCACGTCCCTGGCTAGAAACCAGTGGGGTGTCCCAGACCAATTCCCTACATGCTGCACGCACTAAGGCACGGTGAAGGCCTCAGTGGGCTGGCTGACCTAGAAGGGAGGGGCCAACATATGCCATCCCTATTTGCACTTCAGTGGCACACTGGAATAGGCAGGGTCACCTAGCCAATGGGCTTCAGAAGAACCAGAATCAACAACAAAAGGACTGGGGCCTTCTTTATATGCCTGTATGGAAGAAACAAAAAATATGAGAAGAGGAAACAATAAGAAAAAGCCCTCAGCCCCCAATCCTGAGAACATTGATTCAAGAAATGTAAATACAAAAGAGATTGAGGACAGCATACATGAAATATCAGACACGGGATCAGTGGACATAAAGAAATATATTCAGGACCTCATAGATGAGTTCAAAAGTGAAATATTGAACCAAGTAAAGCAAGATATAAATAGATTAATAAAAAAATGCTAAACACCTCTCAAGACACAGATGGAAGAATGGAGGAACACAAACAAAGGACAGAACTATTTGATAAAGAATATGAAGAAAATATAGAATTCATGAAGCAGATTCAAAGAGATTACCAGGAAATTAAAAACTCCATTCAAAGCTGGCAAAACTGCTTGAAAGAAACTAAGGGTAGATTATCCAAACTGAAGGACGGGGTTTGCAATGTGGGAACATGAAAAGAAAAACTTTTTTTAAAAATAACAAGGAAACTAGAAATACCAATGGAAATGCTAGAAGATGACAAGAGGATCTATAACTTGAGAATAAAGAATGTGAATGAAGAAGCAGGGGTACAAAAAATGAACTACAAAGGCTATTCACAGAAATAATTAAGGAAAACTTCCCAAGCATAGAAAAAGGAAATGATACTCAGATGTATGAGGCATACAGAACTCCAGCCATGTACAACCAAAACAGAGCTACACCCAGGCATATAATAAGATCCCAGAAACTCAATATAGGAACAGAATATTAAAAGCTGTTAGAGATAAGAAACAGATCACTTGTAACGGAAGGCTCATCAGAATTACAGCAGACTTCTTGAAACAAACCATCAAGTCAAGAAGAGCCTGGAGAGAAATATTTCAAGCTCTGAAAGAAAATAACCTCTAGCCCAGATTGACATACCCTGAAAAGCTGTCTCTAGGAATTAATGGAGAAACAAGATCCTTCCAAGACAAAGAAGAACTGGAGAAATTTGTAACCACCAATCCAGCTCTACAGAGAATACTGCAGGGCATTCTAGAGAGAGAGAGAAAAGTACTAGGATTCTAGGAACAGTGGCAGAGAGGCCTCAATGAATGGAGCAGAAATTAGAATGAAGAAGAGAAGCAGACAACTAATGGTAAGCAAAGAGCATAACAGAAATGAGGCAGAGAAGGATGGCATCCTTAGTAAAAACAGAACACTCAGTTGAGCCCCCTAGATGGACCAGCTGTCCAGAGAGGGGCACAGGTGAACTAGGGGCCCAGCTCCCACATTCCTTTGTAGATTCCAGCACAGATATCCAGCCTTGCCTGCCTGAGGCCCTCTCTCCTACCAGGGCAACCTTACTGTCATCACGCGGTGGGGAAATTCAGCCCTGTGAGCTGGAGACACTGCGAAGACACCTCCTGGTACCCTCACACCCATTTCTCATAGCCTGCAGAGCGCTGGGCAGCCCTCCATGGCCACTTTGGAGGTCGTAAAACCTCCACGGCAGAAATCTCCGGAGCCATCCACAGGTGCACAGCCTGAATACTCACCTGGGCCATGCCTCACACAGCAGAGCTTAAGGTGCACAGGGCTCCCACGTCCTACACCAGAGGCTGGGGGCTTTGTCTACTTCCCCACCCAGTGTGACTCTCTCATTGTCCTGCTGTAAACTCCTCCAGGAAAAGACCCATCATGGAGTTCCCTTCCCCTTGAAGAAGGTATTTAGGTCTCATGGAAATAACTGGGAGGAGAACAAAGAAGAAAGGAAACAGAAAGATGAGCGAAGCTGAGGGGATACCTGAGAGTTGGAGCCCAGCTTAGGCAGTTTAGCAGCTTAGCTAGGGCCTGCTTCAAAATCAAAAATGTGAAAAGGTTGAAGAGGAAGCTCAAGGTGAAGGCTTTAGGCTCTCTCCCCACTGCCTGGGTACCTAGGGGACAAGCCTGAAGGGGACTGGAAGAGGAGGGAGGAGAAACAGAAGGCGGCAGAAAGAGGTGAAAAAGAAGCTACTGAGGGAAACTCTTAACTTGGTCCCTGTGGTTTCCTGGGCAATGATTTGAAACCATTGACTCCTAGGGCAAGGCTGTTGTCCTTGATTAAAATACATCTCCGCGTCCCAGGTCAATCAAGAGCTACACAGGGAGACCCTGCATCAGAACGAAGAAGAAAGAAAGAGAGAAAGAGAGGAAGAGGAAGAGGAAGAGGAGAGGAGAGGAGAGGAGAGGAGAGGAGAGGAGAGGGAAAAAGAAAAGCAAAGCAGAATCAGAAAAAGAGCTACATAGGCACACCAGGGCTGCCTGCCTAACCCGAGAGCTTTGAAAGACCTCAGCCCCTGAGTGAGTGGGAAATACAAAGTAAACACCTTAACTATGAAGCTATAAAAGCAACTATCAGCAAAGTGGGTGGTCCGTTAAAGTTTGCTTTATATGAAATTCATTCTTTAAACATGAGATTAAATACAACAAAGGAAAAAAAAGAAAAGTTAACTAAGATACTGTTGCAGCTGGGAGTATATGTTTATTCACTGTTATATAACAATGATATTTTAATGATCATCTGTAAAGCATAGTATTAAGTGCAAGTAAAATCTTGCCTGGAGGTTTTTTAATTAAAAGTAGTAACTCATGTTTAATGGAGAAAAAAGTATATTTCTGAATAACAAAGGCTTTGTTTTTAACAGGTGAGAGGAATGACATGTGCCTCCTGTGTACATAAAATTGAATCTACTCTTACAAAACACAGAGGAATCTTTTACTGTTCTGTGGCCCTGGCAACCAACAAAGCACATATTAAATATGATCCAGAAATCATTGGTCCCAGAGATATTATCCATACAATTGAAGTAAGTGCCAAGACTGCATTTCTGTATTCTAACCTGTTCAGTTAACAGTCCCTTGAATCACATCTGGATTGCATCAGATAGGAAGTGAAAAAATCTGACTGCTTTGAACATTCCTTACAAGATCTGCTGCAAAATTGACTTTATATATTTTCTAACTTAGAGACAAGATCTTGCTAAGTCCCTAAGTCCCTGGGCTGGAACTTGTGACCCTCTTGCTTCAGCCTTCTACAATACTAGGATTACAGACCTAACTCACTGCAAAATTTAATGTAAATAAGACAAATGCAGTGGAATATACCTATAATCCCAGAACTTGGGAGTCTGAGGCAAGAGGATTGCTGCAAGTTTGAGGCCAGCCTGGGCTACATAGTGAGTTCAAAGCCAACCTTCACTACACAGCAAGACCCTGTCTCAAAAAAAGTTTTATGTAAATATGGCTGTATTTTTCCCTTTGTCATCAGGAAAATTTTGGAAAAGATTTATTTATACTGTAAATTACCATCAGACTTATAACTACATATCACTTAAAAACATTAAGAAATTGGAAATAAAGACATTTTGTATGTGTGGTGCTAGGGACTGAACCCAGGACCTCAGGCATGCTAGGTGAGTGTACTACCTCTGAGCTACACCCCTAGCCCTAGAAACTGGAAATAAAGTACAATTCATTTTAAGTTCATCATTAAGATTTTTGTTAATCACTAAGAAAATGAAACATCAAGTTAGATGCATTATTGTTTGAGACAAAGCAAAAAATCCACTTTTTAAAAATCCCACTTTTACATTAAATTAAAATATGTAAAATACTGAGTCTTTTTCTTGGTGCCAAATTTGTTGTGTCTTCAGTAAATTTTGAGCAGTGATACATTGGAAAGTGTGCTATAAAATTGGTATTCTAATGATCTAAATCAGTGATGATGAAGTTTTTAGTGACTGAATGCCCAAACTGCAACTTAAAATCCACTTATTTATTTGAACATGTCAACAGTGCAATTAAATCTGAATACTAAGTTTTAGTTTACAAATAACTGATACATTAAAAGAAAAACACTAACAAGGCTTTCACTGATATAAACAGCCTGCTGTCACACATGTGCCATTGGTTTGCCATCACTGATCTAAAGTATATTAGTATTTTATATAAGATCTTGTTAGGATAGGTAACAATACCATTAACATCTTTGTGGCACTACCATTATTGAATAACCAAGACACAAGATGTAACAACACAAAGTACTTGGTATACAAGATTCCAAAGTGTCAGCTCAATTCCCACAGCAATGTGGTCCTTTTCATTTTAGAAGTGAGGAAACTCAGGTGAAGAGCTTACTTGTTGAAAGTCATATGTAGTAGCTAGTATGTATCATAACTAGGATTCAAGTCTAATTACTGTCTCTCTAAAGCTCAGAGTTACCCTTTTCACTGTGCTTTGCTACAATGTCAAGAAATATAGGACTGTACCAGTTTCTCTAGCAGATGAAAATATAGTGTGTATTACTGTCAATGTTTGCATGAGTCTTACTTAGGTGTAGTTTCCTTTTTATACTTTATTAGGAAAAGTGAGGTTTTGTGTGTGGGTTCCCCTTCTGATGGAACAAGAATCAAGACTTCATGTGCAAGACTGAATAATATATTTGGTATGGTGCTACCTTTTGTGGCCTTTAATAGAGAACTTGAAGAGACCTATAACTGAGGGCAAAGGAATTTGAGTCAGATTTTTAGATTGATAATATTAGGATAAGCATGAACTAGAATTAAGGAAATATTACTTTTTAATATTAGAAAAGATTAGAAACAAAGGTAATTAAGAAAAAGAAGCATGCCTTTATTTTTATATTTCTCAGAGTGACTTGCACTTAGTAATTGAACTGAACTGCTGTAAATAGCAATACCATGACTTAGAATTTCTCTATAATATTTATATATTGAGTGAAATAAATTTTTCTTCTGAATTTTCTTAGAGCTTAGGTTTTGAAGCTTCTTTGGTCAAGAAGGATCGATCAGCAAGTCACCTAGACCATAAGCGAGAAATAAGACAGTAAGTGCTTTTGGAGATTCAGTAGCAAAATAAATTTTGACTCCTCATTACTAATTTAACATCCTGTTAGCATGTCAGTTCTTACAGTATCATTCTTATATGGGGTGGAATAATTTCATCTTGTATTTCTCTATAGTACATGGAGTCCTCAACCACTAGTAACTTACTAAAATGATTTTTCTTATTTTTTCCATGAAAGATGGAGACGATCTTTCCTTGTGAGCCTCTTTTTCTGTATCCCTGTCATGGGGCTGATGATATATATGATGGTTATGGACTACCACCTCTCAACTCTTCATCATAATCAGAACATCAGTAATGAAGACCTGATCAGTATTCATTCTTCTATGTTTCTGGAGCGCCAGATCTTGCCAGGATTGTCCATTATGAATTTGCTGTCTTTTTTATTGTGTGTACCTGTACAGGCAAGTGAAATGTTAGCAAATATATTTATATTGAATGAAATGTAACAACAATGTGGCAGGCCAGGTTATTTCCAGTTGCAAAAGCTATATTAACCAGATGTCTGATTATCTGTACTTCATAATCTTAATAATCTTAAACTGGGTAGTTGAAGTAGATGACAGATTCTTTTTAATCCCTAAGAATATTGTTTAATGACAAAGCAGAGAACAAGAGTTAAAGTTGTTCTGGATTTGGTATTCATATCTGCTATTCTATATGACTGTTATTTTTGTCTGACACATGATTTTATTGCTTTCTTTAAGTTTTCTTCCCTTCTTTTGAGATAAACATTTTCTGTGGAAAGGATTACTTATATTTAATAAACATATTCATCGATCATTTTAAAAAGCATTGTGAGTGCTCCGGATCTAGCTCAGAGGTAGTGTAGTTGCCTAGCATCAATCTGAAGCATTCCCCCCTAAAAAAATCAAAACTCAAAAACCAAAAAAACCAAACCAGGTGAGACACAATGGGTCATTCCTGTAATCCTGGCTCTTCAGGCAACTAAGGTGTGATGAGTCCAAGTTTGAGGCTAACCTGGGTCACTAAATGAAACCCTACCTCAAAATAAAAAATAAAATGGCCTAGGGTGTAGCACAGTGGTAAAGCACTTGCCTAGCAATGTAACATCCTATGTTCAATACCCAGTACTATAAAAAAAGTTTATGACAAAATATTATAAAATTGTTTGCTATCTTTAGTTTTTGCTAGGATCAAAAAGAAAAATCAGGAATCATCTGACTTTCTTCATGTTATGGAATATACATTGGATCATAAGGTTATCCCTCAAGGGCTTGTGCATCAATTTGAATTACTTGCTGTGCACACATGTGCTAGAATACAAAATTGTCTCAATTTAAATTTCTCTTAATATTGATGGATTATTTAAAAGCCAGAGGAAGTAAATACTGATTCTTTATCTTAAGTTAGTGAGGTATATATGTGAATTTGATCATTAAAAATTTTAGTGATTACTATTTATATATTGCAGTTTTTTGGAGGCTGGCACTTCTACATTCAGGCTTACAGAGCATTGAAGCATAAGACGGCAAACATGGATGTACTGATTGTTCTGGCAACCACAATTGCATTTGCCTACTCTTCAGTCATTCTTCTAGTTGCAACATATGAGAGAGCCAAAGTGAATCCTATTACTTTCTTTGACACACCTCCTATGCTATTTGTATTTATTGCACTAGGTCGATGGCTTGAACATATAGCAAAGGTAAATATGAAAGAGTGACATTTGTTAAAGTCTTCAGTAATATGACTGTAATATTTTTGTACCACTTATTGGAAATAAACATTGATTTATATAGTCAAGCATTTATTGAAGAAATATTTTTGTTTTAGCAGGAATTTAAGTTGAATGCTCTTTTAGTAGATTTACCTAATTTATAGAATTAATACTATGGATAGTAGAATATGCCCATGGTTAATTTAAGAGAAACATTTGGAAAGTATTTAATTATTTATATTACATTATCAGTTGGTGTTGGTTTAAAATACTGACAGTAAAAATCCAATACTGTAGTGCACATTACTTTCTAATCTTGTTCCACAAACCTTTATATTTAATGGCACTGGAAGCCTTGTGTATATGCCAATCTGTAACCTGAACATTGTAAAGTTTTTTGCTCTTTTTGCAGTCTAGTTGATTATTTGATATTTTTGAGTAATAACTGTCAATTCAGTGTTTTATTATAAGGATATAATCACTAGGATAAAGGCCATAAATTGTACAGTGGTTTGTGCTACAAATTATAACAGTTTTTGCCAGCAAGAATATGTCATTGAAATGATTTTCATATATTATCAGTATTGCATCTTATGTAGTTTCTTGCTTTGTAGGCATTAAATGGTTACAGCGTTGCTTTAGTTTGCTTTTCTTTCAAACTGAATAAGCATTTTTGCATATGTTGGATATTTATATTTCCTCTTAAATGTCTTGCCTAGTTCTGTCTTTTTCCCATGATCCTATTGGGTTGCTGATATTTTTCTTATATACGTTTTCTTCATAAATTATATGCAATACCCATTTTGTATTTTTCATATTTTTGATATAAAATTTTTCTGATTTGAATATATTATATATTTAAAGTCATTTATATGTATTTTTTAGTTTTTTGTTAGTACATGTTTGCAGTACACGTTGATCACATTCATCATAGGGGATTTGTATATGTACATAACACATCTTATTTCTTTTTTATTCCCCCTTACTCTTCCTGTCCCTCCAACCATCCTTAACCTCCTCATTTACAAAAGCTATATTTCTTTTTCTATCTTATTTTTTTTAAATCCTTTCCGCTTCCTTCCTTCCCCTATCTCTTGTTCTCCTTTCCATTTGAAAAGTTCTTTTTACTCCTTATCTTCCATTTTGTTCCTTATTTATTTTAGGTTTTTCACATGAGAGAAACAATGTGATATTTAAAGTTGTGTGTCTGATTTATTTCACTTTAGATTGTGGTCTTCAGGTACATACTTTTACCTAAAAATGCTTGAAGTTTATCCTTCGTTATGGCAGATAGTACTCCATTGTATATAAATATATTTTCTTTATCAATTCATCTGTTGATGAACATATGGGCTATTTCTAAGATTTAGCTATTATAAATTGTGCTGCTATAAACATGGGCATGTAGCATCATGGTATGACGACTTTACCTCTTTGGGAAGATACTTAGTAGTGGAGTAGCTAGGTCAATTTGAACCTCTAGGTTTAGTTTTTTGAGGATTCAACATACTGGTTTCCATAGTGGCTGTGCAAATAAGTTATATTTCTTAAGCAGACTTTTGGATAAATGCTAAAGATTATATCTTTATTTAAGATCTGAAATTTTCTTTCTTAGCATTGTCAATATGTTTAATTTATAGGGCAAAACATCAGAGGCTCTTGCAAAACTAATTTCACTACAAGCTACAGAAGCAACCATTGTGACTCTCAACTCTGAAAATATCCTCCTGAGGTATTTATCTTCATTCTCCTACTCCTTTTTTAGAACTTTTTATGAAAAATTTCAAATATATACAGAAATGGAGTACCATAGCCCCACATAATCTATTTCTCAGATGTAACAGTTATCTGTGTTTTTCTGTACTTCACTTCATCTATTCCTTTAATCTTTCTGTTGCTGCAATAGGAGGCAAATCCCAGTCATATCATTCTACTAATAGATTTGTATAGCATCTCTAAAAAATACATTGTTATGTAACTACAATAACATATTTCACCTAACAAAATCATCAATATTTCCTGTTATGGCCTGTGTCTAGATGACCCCTAAAGCCTCATGTAATCATAGGACTTTTTCATAGATGGCTGAATCTAATGAGTGTGGTGCTGGAATTAAGGATATGTGATTAGTAAATCTGTGATTAGTAAATCAGTCTGCTGATTGGTTTGGCATAGTTCTGGTTAGGATTAAGGGTGTGAGTGCTGCATCTGCCCTAAGGTGGTAGCCTACATACAATATAAGGGACAGAGTCTTGTCTTTCCCTTTCTTGCTTGCTTTTGTTATCTTCTACCACCATGAACTGTATCTCCTCTGGGATGCCCTTCTGCCAAGCCACCCTGTCTTAGACCCAGCTGATTTTGGACTGAAACCTCTACAACTGTAATCTAAACAAACGTTTCCAACTTTTGAGTGTCTGATAATTTGTCTTAGTAAAGAAAGAAAAGTAACTAAGATAATTTTTTAATGCCACTTAATACCCAGTGCATATTCACATTTCTCCTTTGTCTCCAAAATATTATTTTTTTGTTACTCTTTTAAAATACCCTTCCCTCCTTTTCTTCCTTCTCCTTTAACTTTCTTTTTCTCGTTTTAATTTTTGTTGATATTGTTAATCTTAGTTTATATTTATGGCTTACAATGTTTATATTCATTGAGATTATTAGGATCTCCTTGGCATATCTTCATGCTCCCTATTTCTCCATCCCCACCCCCTCAACCCTCATCCTTAGCCCTTGGACCTCTTCCCAAATGGAAGAAATTCATCCCTTTGTCTTGATTACCTTTTGTTTTCCTTTAGTTTGTACTTTGCATTACTCAGATGAGAGATACCATATGGCATTTAAGTTTGTATGTCTAACTTATTTCAAGCTCAAAATTATATTTTCTAAATTGTATCCATTTTACTATAAAAGTGTCAAATTTGTCCTTATTTGTAGCTGAGTAGTATTTTATTATATATGTATATATTACAATTTCTTCCTTTTTTTAATTTAAGAGGAAAAAAAGACACAGAAAAGGAAAACAAAAAGCAAAAGAGACAAGTGACAATATCAAACTCAATACAATAAAAGTATAGGTTTGCAGAACAAGATGATAGGAATTTTCACAACAGTGGTAATATTGCATATTTTTACTTTCAAAAGGATTGCTCAGATTAATAGATATGGACATGTAAAATTGATCTAATCAACTGAGTATTAACTTTTTTCCAATAATTAATATAATTAATAGTACAGTCCTTTTAGCTATCTTACGTGTGTGTGTATGTACCAGTCTACACTTGTACTAACGGTGGAAAAGGGTTGCCTTTCCCCTACAGCCTCTCCAACATTTGTTATTGGTTGATTTCTTTTTTGTTTGTTTGAGTTTTTGGTACTGGGGATTGGACTCATGACCTTGCATTTCCCAGTCAGGCACTTAGGCTCCTAGGCTACATCCCCGACCCCATTCTTGATTTCTTGATCTTGGTTATTCTTTCTGGGTTGAGATGGAATCTCAGTGTTATTTTAATTTGCATTTCCCAAGTGACCACTGGTGTTAAACATTTTTTCATGTATTTATTTGCCATTTGTATTTCTTCATCTGAGAAATATGTATTCATCCTAGGTGTCCATTTTTGAATTGGGTCCTTGAATTTTGGGGGTCTGATTTTTAAAAAATTCTTTAAAGAAAGAAGTCCTTTGTTTGAAGGACAGTTGGCTAAGATATTTTCCCAATTCATGCATTTTCTTTTCACTCTATTAGAGATTTCTTTTGACCTGGAAAAACTTTAATATGACAAGGTCCCAGTTGTTGATTCTGGGAATTATTTGCTGTACAGTTTGATTTTTGTTCACGAACTCTCTGCTTAGTCCTATTTTATCAAGATTTCTACCTAGTTTGTCTTCTAGCAGACTTAGTGTTTCTGTTTCAATATTTAGATAATTGATCTGTTTTGACTTTAGTTTAGTGCATGGTGATAGACATGGCTCTAGTTTTAGTTTTTGTCATATGGAAAGCCAGTATTTCCAACAACATTTATTAAAGAGGTTATCTTTCTTCCAGTTTACATCTTTGACCTCTTTGTCAAAGATGAGGTGACTGAGTGTATTTGTAGTTGTGGCTGTATCTTCTAATCTATTCCACTGATCTTCAGATCTATCTTAATTCCAGTACCATGCTGAGTTTATCATGGTACTTTTGTAGTATAACTTAAAGTCTGGGATTGTGATGCATCCTGCCTTATCTTTGTTTCCCAGAATTGCCTTTGCTATCCTAGGTCTATTCTGGTTCCAGATGTATTCTAGGATTGATTTCTCTAGATCTGTAAGGTATGCTAATAGTATTTTTATTGGAATTGCACTAAATCTGTTTAATAATTTTGGAAGAATGGCCATTTTCAGAATATTTGTTCTTCCTATCCATGAAGAAGAAATGTCTTTCCATTTTCTGGGATCCTCTTCAATTTCTTTTTTCAGAGTAAAGTAATTTTCACTGAATTGATCTTTTACTTTCATTGTTAGATTGAGCTCTAATTATTTCATTTTTGGATGCTAATGAAGGGTGTGGTTTCCTTTATTTCTCTCTCAGTGAGTTTGCTATTTGTGTATGGGAATGCTATTGATTTTTTTGAGTGTTTACCTTGTGTCCAGCTACACTGCTGAAATTGTTTATTAATTCTAGTAATTTTTTTGTTGGAGTTTCTGGGGTCTTCTTTGTAGAGTATCATGCCATCTGCAAGTAATAATAATTTAGCTTCTTCCTTTCCTATCCTTATTCCTTTTATTTCTCCCTCTTATCTAATTGCTCTAGCTAATATTTCTAGCACTATATTGAATAGGACTAGTGATAGTGGACATCCTTGTGTTTTTCCTAATTTTAAAGTGGAAGTTTTCAGTTTTTCTCGTTTGTCTGTTTGTGTTAATGGTGTGTTCAGGTCTCCCGTTATAATTTTGTTATTGCTTATTTGATTTTTTATTCCTATTAATATTTATTTTACATAGCTTGGTGCTCCCGTATTTGGTGCATATGTATTTAAGATTCTTATCTTGGGCTGGGGATTTAGCTCAGTGGCATCAGTGGCTATTTTGCAAGCGTGTGGTTGTGAGTTCAATCCCTGGTACAAAAAAAAAAAAAAAAAAAAAAAAAAAAAAGATTGTTCTCTCTTCCTCTTGAAGTTTTCCCCTAACTAGTGTGTAGTGACCTTCTTTATCTCTTTTGATCACTGTTGCTTAGAAGTTCATATTGACTATAAACAGAATAGCTACTCTGCTTTTTTTTTTTTTTTAGGTTCCTGTTGCCTGAAGTATTGTTTTCCATTCTTTGGCTTTCAGTCTATGAATTTCCTTTTGGATTAGGTGGCTTTCTTGTATACAGCATATATTTGTATGTTGTTTCTTGATCCATCTTGCCAATCTGTTTCTTTTAATTGGCGAATTGAGGCCAGTTACATTAGTGGTTGTGACTGATATATATTGGCCTATTTTTGTCGTGTTACCTTTCTGCTGTTTGTTCTTTACCTTTCCACTCTGTTTAATTGTTTGCCCTGTGTGGTTGTTTTCTTCTGTTGGTATTCTTGAAGTCATAGTTATGTTTATGTCTATCTAGATTATCTTTCAGTATTTTCTGTAGCATTAGTTTGGTGGTCATGAATTTCTTCATTTGTTCTTTGTTGTGGAAGTATCTTACTTCTCTGTCAGTTTTGAAAGATAATTTTGCAGGGTAGATCAGTCTTGGTTGAAAGTTGTTTTCTTTCAGGACCTTCACTTCAAGCTCTTCTTGATTTGAGGGTTTATTTTGAGAAGTCTCCTATGATTCTGTTAGGCTTTCCTTCATAGGTGATCTGTTTGTTTTTTCTGACAACTTTTAGTATTTTGTTCTTGTGCTGAATTTGTGATATCTTTATTATTATATGTCTTGGAAAAGATATATTTTGGTTATGGTTAAATGGAGTTCTGTGTGCCTCATTTATCTGCACATCAGATTCTATTCCTATGTTTGGAGAATTTTCTTCTATTCTTTGTGTAAATATTATTTGTATATCATTTGTGTTAACCCCTTCATTTTTGTTGGCACCTATCAGTTTATATTATTTTCCTTGCATTTTCTTGTAGCTGTTGACTTATTGTTTCCTGGTTCCTTGTTATTTTTAAGTGATCTTTTCTTTTGTGATTATAAGCTTCCATTGTGTCTTCAAGGTCTGAGAGACTATCGTCAACTTCATTCAAGTATTTTTTACAGCTTTCAATGGAATTTTTAGTTTCATGGATATCCCTTTCAATCTGTTTCATACATGTATTTTAATTGTCTTATATTATTCATTCAAAGTTCCCATCATTTTCTTACGTTGCTCTGTTTTTTTCCTGCAGATCTTCTTTAGATACACAGCATTTATTTCATAATGTTTGTTGTTTCATTTTTTTACCTGAGAGATTATTTCTGATCTGCTTTCCTAATGAATTTTAGGAACAATGGAGGTTAAGAGCAGAATATATTTATTGAGAGAAAGAAAGCTTATGTCTGAGAGAGAGACAGAATGGGTCCTGAATGGGTTGCCAATGATTCTGTATTATTTTGGGATTTTTATAGAGTAAAATCATGAGGTGATGCAGGTCTAAGGTGGTGAAAACTGGGAACTTGCAAGGTAGATGAGCATGAGGCGGGACAAAGCTATGTTTAGCTGATAAGATGATAGTTCAGGTAAAATTGATTAAATTGGGAACAAATAGGGAAGTGAATCAATAGAAAGCATA